TTCCCGCGGTGTGTGATGATTTGCTATGATGTATGTGAAGTCCCTGCCCTCTCCAAAAAATGTATAAAAATGCTGCAAACCCTGGGCTTGGGGCCTCTCAGCGTCACCAGTTGCTGTGTGTGCACGCGGAGGACCGAGCTAGCTCGCAATAAACACCTCTTTGCTGCTTACATTGATCTTGGGTCTCTGGTGGTCTTTGGGGGTCCTGAATTCAAGCATAACAGTAGTGGTGGTGGGGGGTGTTTACCAGGGATTTAACTCTGGGGCACTCAACACTGAGCCACATTCCCAGCCCTATTTTGTATTTTATTTAGAGAGAGGGTCTCACTGAGTTGCTTAGCACCTGGCCTTTGCTGAGGCTGGCTTTGAACTCCCTCTGCTGCTTCTGCCTCCTGAGCCTCTAGGATTATAGGCAGGAGACAGATGCCAGGCTCTTTTTCTTTTTAAGCCTAATTTTACTTTCTGGAGCTTTCTTTTTCCCTGGTATAGTAGTATTACTTTCTCTATTCTTATGCTTAACAAACATAGTTAGGCATGTTCTCTGGCTTCTTAAATGAAAAAGAATGAAAGAAAGTAAAAGGGAAAGTTTTTTTTTTCTTTAGCAACCAAGAAGTAGTGAAAAAAAGAATGAGGAAAATTTGAAACTATAAGATGGGGGAGGGAGAAAGGATTGCAGCAGCAGCTCAGTGGTAGAATGCTTGCCAAATGTGAATCCCTGAGGTCAGTCCCCAGCACCAAAAACTAGAACCAAAACCAAACCCCAATAAAAACCCCCAACTCTCCAGGGAGGAAAGTAACAGAAGAAAAGGGAGATAGATTTGTTCATTTTTTTGGTATGATATTTACATATTGTAAATTCAAAATGTAAGGAGCACCCTTATTATTTATGTGGTGCTGAGGATTGAACCCAGGGCCCTGAACATGCTAGGCAAGCACTCTACCACTGAGCCACAATCCCAATCCCAAAGGGATTAATCTTTAATGAATAACTTCCTAATTGGGTGGCTGGGACAGGGGATTTCAAGTTCAAGGCCACCCTGTGCTATTTAGTGAGAACCTGTCTCAAAATAAAATTTGTAAATGGATTGGGGATATAATGCAGTGATAGAGTGCTATATATATATATATATATATATATATATATATTCATAAAGCATTTCATATACATACATATATGTATCTCTCTCTCTCTCTCTCTCTCTCTCTCTCTCTCTCTATATATATATATATATATGTATATATGTAAAGGAGAACTCTTCTTTATTCTCTTTGTTAATTTGTCATCATCTTTGGGCAGGAGTGATGCTAATCTTCATGTATCATTTCAATTTTAGTATATGTACTGTTGAAGCCAGCACCTTTAGGAGATGTATTCTTCACAAACATTTCAGTGCTAGGATCCCCATTGTACAGCTAAAATAATTAAAGCTGTGAGAGGGGCTAAACTCATAGAGCAATAAAGATGTCACAGTGAACTTTCCCAATGCAAAATGTATATACAGGGTCCCTAAATTGCTCAGGCTGGCCTCAAATTTAGGATCCTCTGTCTCAGCCTCCTGAGCAGCTGAGATTACAGGCGTGCACAACCACACCTGACATGAAGTATATTGATAATGGCAATCTCTCTATGTTCCTCATTTCTTACCTCTCCCTTTCTTTAGGGTTTTTTTTTGTTGTTGTTGCTGCTGTTGTGAGGGAGGTTACTAGAGATCTAACTTATGGGCACTTTGCTACTGACCCCAGCTTTTTTATTTTTTAAATTCTGAGACAGGGTCTCACTAAGTTGCTGAGGCTGTTCTCAAAATTGGATCCTTCTGTCTCAGCCTCCCAAATCACTGGGATTATAGGCATGAACTACTGGACCAGGCTCCTTTAGTTCTTAAAGACCTGAAGGGTGGCTGTGTTAATCTAGTCTTGGGGTTCTGTCTCTTTGATCTGATCAACTGCCTGTTGCTTTTTACCTAACTTTTGCTAGTTCTTGATGTATTTTCGGTTTGGCTTATCTTGAATATTTCTTTTTCTGATAATTGGGTACATGAGTTTGACGGCTACTCTTTCCTTGTTTTGGAGACTTGAGTCCCTGGCCAACCATTGTTAGAATAAGCCCTTTTTGTTATGAGAAGTGTATTCTATTTTAACAAGTAATATTCTAATCTTTTGATTGTAAAATAAGACTTTTAGGTGTATTATTTGATATTCATTGGATTTAATTTGAGAACTATTTTTAAAGTTTTTAAAAATAATTACAGCCAGGCATGGTGGTAAATACCTATAATCTCAGAGACTTAAGACACCAAGGAAGGAGGATTGCAAGTTCAAGTTCAAGGAATTGCGACCTTGTCTCAAAATAAAAAAAATAAAAAGGGCTAGAGATGTGTCTCAATGACTAATTGCACTCTGGGTTCAGTCCTCGGTGCCAAAATAAATAAATAAAAAATAATAATTACAGTTAGGTGTGGTGGCACAAGACTGTAATTTCAATAGCTCCAAGAGGCTGATGTAGGAGGATTCCAAGTTTGAGGCCAGCCTATGTAACTTAATGAAACCATGTCTCAAAATAAAATTTCAGAGGGCTAGGGATGTAACTCAGGGGGATATCACCTCTAAGTTCAATTCCCAGTACCACATATATAAAAGACAGAAATAAATGAAATAAAACAAAATTAAAACAATTGCAGGGATTAATGAAGTATGTAAGATAGGCATGGTAGTGCTTGTCTGTCATCCTAGTTAATATGGAGGCTAAGGTGGATCACTTGAGCCCAGGAATTTGAGGCCAGCCTAGGCAAATAATGAGACACTCCTTATTATCAAACAACAAGAAATAAACTATTTAAGAAGCAGTAAATATACTTTATAAATTAACATTGATGTTTTTGCCATGCTGCTCTTCCTCTGGCAACCCAGATAATTACACTAAATACAAAAATAATAGAAATATTAATTATTGACATTATTATACCAAAAAATATTCACAGAACATAATCAAGTCTGTACATTAATTCTATCAAGTCTTGCAATTTCCAGGGTTGAATAGAGGTCAATTTGAAACAAGGTTCATGGTTGTCCAATCTTTATGGCTCTTTTCTTACAGTGGCTACAATGTAATTATGTCTGAAAAACACTAATCTGCCAGGTTACAGAATTTGCTGTCAACTAAAAATGTAGAAAAGTATTTGAAAGTAGATTTTCATTATATGTTTTTTTTTTTTTTTTTTTTTTTTTAGTGAGAGAGGAGAGAGAGAGAATTTTTAATATTTATTTTTTAGTTCTTGGCGGACACAACATCTTTGTTGGTATGTGGTGCTGAGGATCCAACCTGGGCCGCACGCATGCCAGGCGAGAGCGCTACCACTTGAGCCACATCCCCAGCCCCTATATGTTTGTGATCTTAAAAATTAAGGGCTGGGTGTGTAGGTCAGCAATAGAGCACTTACTTCACATGTATTGAAAGGGTAAAGTTTCTAAGCTGGAAAGCTTGAATGTAAAAGATTAGGTATTATTAAGTTCCTCTGTTACACCCAGATTCCTGAGATAGTTAAAACAATGCCCTACTGGCCGTTTAGCCTAGGGCAGTTCCTCACAGGGCCCGAACCAATCAGTTTGAATGTGTAACCCGCTTACGAATGACCAAGCACCCCCGCCCGGCCGGTTCCCGCCAATGAACAGAGTTGTTGTTCAATTTCCCCGCGCCTCATGATGATTTGTTCTGATGTATGCAAAGCCCACCGCCCTCTCCAAAAAGTGTACTTAAGCTCTGCTTGACCTTTGCTCTGGGCTCTGAGCTGCGCTCCCTTTTTGAGTGGGCACAGAGTCCCAGCGCGCTGGAATGGATCCCCAATAAATCCCCTTTTGCCAATTGCATGGAGTAAGTCTCTTGTGTGTGGTCTCTCCCTCCGAGGCTCCGCCGGTCCCCCCCCCTTACAGTATGAGGCCCCTCCCTGAGTTTGATCTCCAGCTCCACCAAAGAAAAGATAAATAAATATTACACATGATAGTTTAATGACTGCAAGCATTCTCATAGTTTTAAGAGTTTTGTGGCCTGTGGTTTTTATTGTTGTTGTTTAATATSTATCCTTTAATTGTGACTCTCTATATTAGTCTGCTGAGTTCAGAGTGTTACCAGATTTGGAAGTTCAAGTTTACCAAACTTAAAAACTAAAGCACTCGGCCACCGCTTCCATAGCTCCCACTGCCACTGCCTCTGAGCAGAAGATGGCTGTGCCTCCCACATATGCTGATCTTGGCAAATTTTCCAAGGGCTATGGCTTTGGATTAATCAAACTTGATTTGGAAACAATCTGAGAATGGATTGGAATTTATGACCTCAGGCCTAGCCAACTCAGAGACCACCAAAGTGACAGGTAACCTGGAAACCAAGTTTTGTAGGAACAGAGGAGCACGGCACCAAAGAAGGTAGCAGGAAACAGTTTTATTTGGCTGCTGTCAGGTTCAGAGGGCACAGCTTTTGCTGTAATCAATCAATAGGTAGTTTCAGAATTTTATACCCAGCATGTAAGGGGAGGGGCTCAGAAGTTCACAGTCTGAAAAAGTTCACATAAATGCAGCTTTTTCTTTCACTGTTCTGGGCAAGTTAACCCTTCAAGGACAACACCTGAGAAGGGGAGAGCTTCTTCTCCCCTTTSTTTCCTCTGCCTGCCAGCTGTTACCATGGAGCCCAATTGGTAACTTCTCTAAGAAATGTAGACATCTCTGTGAAGCCCCAGCTCAAGGCCAGAGGCCTTGTTTACACATTTTTACAAACTAATGTACTGAATACATATTTGTGAAAAACTAGTAAGGGGGTGTCCAGCACCTGGAGTGCTAATTTCTTCCCTGCCAGTGCCAAGTAAAACAGGGCAACAGGAAAACAGGAAGTTCATCTACATTGAACTCTTTTGTAGAGACTCTTTTGTTGACAGTCATAAAATCAGCCATAGTGAAGATTTCTGGTGAAGCCCAGTTAAGACTTTTCTGTGGAGAAAGAGGGTGTCACAACACAAGTACAGGTGGATTGAATATGGCCTGACGTTTACAGAGAAGTGAACATTGACAACACACTAGGCACTGAGATCACTATGAAAGATCAGCTTGCACGTGGACTGAAGCTGACCTTCAATTCATACTTGTCACCTAACACTGGGGGGAAAAAATGCTAAAATCAAGACAGGGTACAAGCAGGAGCACATCAACCTGAGCTATGACGTACGGACTTTGACATTGCCGGGCACTCTAATGCTGGGTTATGAGGGCTGACTGGCTGGCTACCAGATGAATTTTGAGATTGCAAAGTCCCGAGTGACCCAAAGCAATTTTGCAGTTGGCTACAAGACTGACGAAATCCAGCTTCACACTCACGTGAACTATGGGACAGAGTTTGGTGGCTCCATTTATCAGAATGTGAACAAGAAACTGAAGACGCTGTCAATCTTGCCTGGACAGCAGGAAACAGTAATACTCACTTTGGAATAGCAGCAAAGTATCAGATTGACCCTGATGCCTGCTTCTAGGCCAAAATGAACAACTACAGCCTGATGGGTTTAGGATACACTCAGACCCGAAACCCGGGTATCAAACTGACACTGTCACTTTGATGGGTGGCAATAATGTCAATGCTTATGGGCACAAACTTGGTCTAGGACTGGAATTTCAAGCATAAATGTACAATTATTAATTTTAAAACATTTTGCAGCATAGCTACCTTCAGAATTTAGTGTGCTTTTAATGCTGTAGGTCTGGGATGCAAGAATTGCTAAAAATCATATTAGAACTCCAGGTGAAAGAGGATTCAGCTTTAAAGTGTTACCATTTCAGAGGTACAGAAGAAACTGAGTCCAAACGAAAGATCCTTTCAGCTGTAGTCTTGTGTGTGAGAGACTGGTGGCCCCTCTAGAGATGCCAGGTTTCCTTTAAAAAAAAAAAAATTCTACAAATGCCTGCAAGTGGAAGCTGATAATTTATAGGCACTTTGTAAATCTGTATTGAGTAAATGAATGGAATTGTGACTTCCTGAAAATCAAACCTTGGTTTCCTAACCCTTATTGATGAGGAGCTTGTTGCTTGGTGGTGTGTACAAACTGATGTGAAAGGGACTTTTTTAGACAGACCTTCATAAACTTGTTCCACTCTAACTCATCATCACCTCTTTTACACCAAAAGTAGTCTGCAGGGTGTGGCCACTGTTTCTTTTTCGTGCCATTTTGAGGAGGAGAGGATAGACGTGATGAAGCCAATAATTCAGGACTTAATTCCTTTTTGAGTTGTGGTTTTCTTGTCCTTGTACCAGTGTCTGAAATAGCTTCCAGGAGCTCCAGCTATAGGCTGGGAAGAGTCTGCGTGATTGTCATCACACAGTGAC